TACACACTTCATCTCTATCTTCTTGTTACCTAATGCTAAAATGCCTCACGCTAAATCATAAAACTTAAATAAAATAAGCGAATTCTTTTCTTTTAGAAATAATAAAAATTGTTTTTCAGTATTTTTTTTTTGTTTTTGGTGTTTTGCCTTAAAATGTCTGGAGGTTGATTTTTAGTTCTATTTTATAGATACAGTGTGTTTTGGTATGACTAAATTCTATACAATACAATATAATAAGTATACATTATACATTAAATGACATTTCTGTTTTGCATATATATACATATATATATATATATATATATATATATATATATATATGTATAAATATATATGTACATATATTTGTTTTTGTGATTTTCTTCTAAATTTATTTATTAATTTATTATTATTATTTATTTTAGGAGTTATCCGATGCGTACAAAATACCCAATTATTTATTTAGCTAATTTGCTGTGTCGAAGGGTCGCGTGTGTTTCTTTGAGTGTATTAACAGCAGAGTTGTATAAACGCTACAGTGCAGCCTGGGCCCAGTGTTGATATGGTTTTATTTCTTTTGGCGTTGGATGGAGGGGGAGGTGGCACTACAAATCGAACAAACAAAGGCTGAATACTCTATACATCTTGCCTGATATGAATGCGTGCGTGTGTGTGCTTTTGGTACGTTTCATTAAGGCTGACTTATTCTGTTTGCAGCTGTTGCCTGTATCGAGCGCACACTGTAGCGTTACTGAGTATTGTTTAGATACTCGTTTATTTTAGTTAATTTTTGTTTTTTTTTTGGTTTTTTTGTTTTTTGTTTTTGGCAGTTTGCTTGCCGTCGCCGGAGCACTTATGAAATGCCAGCCTCAATCTGAGTAGTTGGCAGCTCTGGTAGCTCTGTGAGAAGCGCAGAGAAGGGTTCCTTAAGGCACTTGCACTTGCACTTGAACAGCTCCCCTGCTGCTTGACCATAAGCCACTTTTAAGTTTTTCTTGGGTTTTGTTATTTTTTATTTTCTTTTTTTCTTCGGGGTCTCTCAAATAATATGCATTCTCGCAAGAAGTTGACAAAAAGTTGCCAAAGTATGTGTGTGCCGTAATTGTGTGTGTGTGTGTGTACGCGTGAGCATGTGTGTGCGTGTGTGTGTGTGTGGATGTGTGTGTTGACATTGTTAGAGGACGTGTGCGTGTATGTGTGTCGAGGGGATAGGGTTAGGACAGGGCCAGCTTTTATGTTTGTATATTGTAATTTTTTGGTACTCGTTTCCGCTCTGCGAGTCTCTCAATTGTATGTGTGCGTGTGTGGGTGTGTCTGCTCGTGTGAGTATGTGTGTCGGTGTGTGTGTGTGTGGACGGTTTTCAAAGCTTTATTGTTTACACTTGAATGCTTCTTCATTTTACCCTTGTCACTTCCTTTTACACAAAATAATTTGCAATGTGCTTTCATATACCGTTGCTGAGAATCCTAACATATTCCTAACATTACCCTTACCCCTGGATTAAGTTCTAAAGAACTTATGCATCGGAAATCAGATGAATCGTAAGGGAAAGTTTCAATTCCATCCATCGTTTAACTTCCAGGTGTTAGATCTAAGTAGCTTGTATATCGTATCGGATGATTTGTAAAGGAAAGTTATCATTCAACCCAACTTCCTATCTTTGTCAAAGCGAACTAGTTCTTCAGTTCTAATTCAAAGGGATCATAAACTATAAAACATTACCAAATTTATACATATATTCTTCTCCCTTCTATTTGCATCTTAAGGAACTAGTTCTTCACTTTCATTATTATTCTGAAAACACCGCAACCAAATAGATCGCGGCTCTGAGACAAGCTTAGGTTGACAAAGTAATGTGTTTGTGCTGATATTTGCCGCTCCATTTGCAGCTGCTTGAACAAGTTCACTTAGTTCTGATTATTATTAAAGCAGTTCGTGAAATAGAAGTTCGATGAATCGTATCGCTCCTAGCTGCTATCGGAAGTTTTGACTACGCATCAAATGACTGCGTATCAAGTTTGCATTCAGCAAGGGTATTCTATAAGCGGCATGCCGCAAAAAGCAACTATTCAAAAATATATATATATGTATACATATTTTTATATTATTATACATATATTTTAAATTAATTTTTAACTCCTTTGTATGTGTATGTACATATATAAAGCATATACATACAGTTTTACATTTTTATACATTATTTATAATTAAAATGCGAATTTGCACAGTTTCAGTCGACTTTTTTTCATGTTAATTTTATCATATTATGAATATTCTTTGGTTTGGTAGACGGTATCCGAAATTTGAATGGCTGGGTGGGCGGGTGTGTCTGTATGAGCGTGTCACAATGTCAACACACACACACACAAATGGCAATAGAGGAAAGAAGTCGAAGAAGTATTTGAACTATTTGGAAACTCATACCCATCAGGCTGTGCGGCAAGCAAAGTTTCATATATTTATTGTTTTGGGGCATTTGACATTGTGTTTTTTTTTTTTTGTTTGTTGGTTTCTTTTTTTTTCCAGAGCTTGGTATTATTTGCACATCCACACATAGCTATAAATATATATATATATATATATTTATATACATGTGAATGTATGCATGTGTTTGTGAGGCTTTGTACATTCCTCGAGTTCTCATATTAAGTTACATATTATTATAAAATCATAAGAGCCTTTGCCATTCTTCTACATTTGTTCTTAGTATTTTTCTTAAACATCATCAGACATTTTTTCGTGTTTGTTTTTGTTTTGTTTAAACTTTACTTGCTTTTGCCTTAAGTTCTGTTAGTTTTATTTCATCTGTGTTCTTCAGTTTCAAGTATATCAATTAAATTGCAGTCGTTTTTATTTTATTTTATTTTTTTTTTTTGGTTTTTTTAATATTTAAATTATTATTATTTTTTTGTTGCTGTTGTTGTTCTTTTGTTCTCTTTGTTTGTCTTTAGTTAATTTCGTGATAAATTGTTTGTGATAATGAATATTTGTACTTTTTATTTCGTTTTTATTCGGGGGGAGTTTTAAGCAGAAAATTAAGCAGGTTCGCTTTATATATAGAACAGTTCTTACTGTAGTTTCTCTTGTTGGACTATTTTCCTTATTATTTTTTATATTTCCTTTTCTTTTTTTTTTTTTTTGGTTTTCGTTTTGTTTTTTGTCCCATTTTGTGGGTGGGCGGGTTAGTTGAGCTTGGTTTGTTTTGGTAGTTGGGATAGTTAAGTACGTGAAATTTGTTTTTTTTTTTTTTGCTAGCAGACAAACATATTGAAAGAAATGCCAAAGATCAAAGCTAGACCCGATTCAATATGCTCGTTACAGTGGGTTCGATTCTAATAAGAACTCTTTAGCGTGTGTGTACTGTACTTGATGTAAATTTCGTTCTGGTAAGTTGATGTATTATGCTGTCACAGTTTAAAAGCAAATACTGTTATTTATTTATTTATTGTTAATAACTATACAAATTGTTGATCTTTATTTTATTTGTAATATTATGGCAGTTTTTCTTTTACTATGCTGTTAGTTTACGTGTGTTTTTGTTTGTTTGTGTCTGCATGTTTGTGTGTGTGTATGAGGTTAAGTGTTGTAAAATGTTCAATGCTATCAGCGCTGAGCTGGAAGTAGTCGTAGTCATTTTTGATAACTTGTTTAGGCTGCTTGAGTCAGCATTGAGGAAAGTTTCTTTTCATTTTCATTCTGTGGAAATATAAACCAACCCTCTGTGAGCATAGATGAGCCAAAGGCGGCACAAGCATAATAAGCTCTGCATGAAACGGCATTTGGTTAGAACTTATCTGAAATTTTAGCTTTGATAACCAAGTGAGTTGCCTGATGGCATAGATTGAGCAAACTATATGAACTTTCATTAGTTAACTAACAATTTTTAGTTTTATATTAAGCTGGCAATTAGCGGAAAGTGACTCAAAAGGTAAACAGTTGAATATCGGAAATGCTTTCAAAGCGGCTTTTCCAGTGTTGCAAACCAGCTGACTTTAGCAATAGTATTGCAAAACTTTTGAAAATACAAAATGAGAAATGGTTTAAGAACTGACTTTGCACAGCACTGTTTTGGGCTGCCTTTACCACACTGTTTGTGTGTGTATTTGGCTGTTGGTCTGCTTAAATATGTGTGTATTTGTATGTATTTGTGTGTGTTTGTGTGTAAGGCCTAATTGTATGCACTTTTATTTGCTTTTCACGTTAACTGCGTTTACTTTGACTGGGTTTTACGGTTCTGTTAATTTTTTTTTTTTGTGATTCAATTAATTTTATATGAATTTGTGTTTTTTCTCTCATGTTATTTATTTATATATTTGGTTTTATTTTTTTATATTATTATTATTTTTTTTTCGATGTTTTTATGTGTTTTAAATGTAGGTAATTGTTTACGCATTAAATTATCAATATTATTTATAATTATTTATAATATTAAATACATACATATATATATATTATTTTCTTGTTTCTTTTTGTTTTTGTTTTTTTTTTTTGTATTTTAGTTTAATTACATATAATTAAATTTACCAATAGTTTAAATTTGTTTGTTATTTGTTCTACTTAAATTAAACTTAAACAGCTTTTGTAGTCGTTTCTGGCATCCAACGTAACACTTGACAAGGCCAATCTTATACCACTTAACATCAATTTTACTGTGCAACCCCCGATAATGTTATAGATGGATAACATCCAAATTTAGCCAAGTGATGCGTTTACATACCACAGACATATATATATATATATATACATATAAGTTATATACATAATAATATTCATAAAGATACATAATATATATATGGTAATAGTTTATATATAGTCATAGAATGAGTTATACATATGGGGCATATCGCGTGGGAGGGAGCAAGAGAGCGCGCGCACGTGGATAGAAAAAAAAAAGAGAAAATAGTTTAATGCTTATAAAAAAACAGTTAGCTTTAATGTTGTACGAATTAAGAGAGAGAGAGAGAGAAAGAGACAGTTATTAGCAATATTGAGCTTAATATTATGCTGACAATGACATTAGCTGAAAGTGAAGCAGGCAAAAAATGCTCTATCAGTGTTGCAAAATGTTTGATAATAGCAGTTGCCTGTAACAAGTGTTGGCAAATGGCTTAAGAACGCACTTTTCACAGCTGCTCAACACTGTTTTAGGTGACCATTTTCAGCTGATATCATTGTGACTTTACGAGTAAACTATACTGAAGTTTTGGTGCTTGTGCATTAGAAATTGGGAGTCAAGACTTGTGCTCAAGACAGAGAGAGACAGAGAGTTGGAGATAGAAAAGGAGCGAAAGAGAGAGAAAGAGAAATGAAGAAAAATAGCTTTAGCTGAAGATTTTGCGATTTGCTTAGCATACGAAATGCTTTACGAATGAGCTTGATTGGGAGATCAGGGAAAGTGTTTATGAATGCGAAAGGGCTGTTAGGGGGCATGACAGAGAGATTGGGCGACAGAGAGACATAGAGAGAGAGAGAGGTGGAGTGGGGCGGGGAAGAGAGAGTAAAGGCGCACACTTACCCAGTAGTCAAACGTCGGTCTCGATGCTAACAGCCAGCGCATTGTTGTGCCTCATTGTGAGACTGCTTCCAGCGCTGCCAGTTGCCGCACTGACGCTTACTGTTGACTGCAGCTGCTTGAAGCCATTCTGCTGCTGCAGTTGCAGTTGCTGCTGTTGCTGCTGCTGCTGTAGTTGTTGCTGCTGCTGCTGCGCTGGCGGCGGTTGCAGCTGCATCTGTGTGGCTCCCAAAAACGGAGCTGCTCCACTGCGTCCAGGATGTGTTTCAGTTAACCCTGGCGTCGATTCAACACCATCGTCCAAATCCATCATATCCGATGAGGACTCGGACAACGATGATTTCTTCAAGTGTTGACCTACTTGTGGTTTTATGCATTTGTTTAGTGTTGTTGTTCAACGTTGTTTGATCGTTGTTGTTGTTGGTTGTTGTTGTTGGTTGTTGTTGTTGGTTGTTGTCGCAGTGTTTGGTAGTTGGTGTTAAACAAAGTTGTGTGCGTGTGTGTTCGTGTGCGCGTGTGTGTGTGCGCGTGTGTATGTGCGTGCGTGTGTGTGTTACAGTGATTGACGGTGGACGGATAGGCATGGAGGGAATTTGGATTCGTTGGGTAATACATATACAGAATTTGGATGCGGTTACGGTTTCGGTTTCGGATTGTGGGACATTTGAGATTACAGATAATTGTTGCAAGTTCAGGTTATCGATATCGATATTTATCGGATTCGCATTACGATTTAACGGAATAAAGAGAGAAACAAAAAGAAGAGAGAGAGAAGAGAGAAAGAGGAGATCACACATACAGTTGTAATGTATTAATTACAAAAATGCTTTTTGTTGTAGTTCTTGTTACACACAAAACACACAGTACGTGTAAGTACGTATTGTAGGTCGATACAGTTGCGCAGCGTTGCCACCGGCGAGCGTTTAGGCGTTGCCACATGGTAATTCGACTATCGAATTATCGATAGACAACTGGCTGGCGTTCACATTTGGCAACACAGCGTGCGATGATGCGTACGTTTTGCAATACGGCCAGCGCTGCCAGATTGGTATGCGGCGTGCTGCATGCGGCCAGTACGGCAACGCCGTCGCATCAAGCGTTTTCATATAATGCCTACGTTTCGTTTCTTTCTTCGTAAATGTTTCTATTTTTATTCAAACTGGGTTCTGTTTAACAGTAGATATGCAGGCGACTGTGTGTGTGGGTGTGTGTAATGTACGAGTGTGTAACAGGTGGTTGGCATATTGATGTCTCTGTGTATGTGTGTGAGTGTGTGTGTATACATGTGTGTGGCTTTACTTTGCAATCGTCCAGTCGAATGTGATTGTGATACGAGTAGAGTGGAAGATAACGAGGCACAGTGCACATTTCAACTTACCTAATGTACCTGGCAAATATGGACAACTAGTAACATGATTAAAGTTTTGGCTCTGCATCTCCTCCTGATCCGTTTCGCGGTGATAGAAGTAATTGAAATTACTGACGATAACCGGTACGGGCAGTGCGATTGTTAGTACACCAGCAATCGCACATAATGATCCCACAATTTTGCCCCAAACGCCGACGGGTCTGTATTTTGTTTAATTATCGTTTATCGATATCGATATCAATTTCATTTCAATTTTGTTTCGTTTTATATTTCAATATTGCATATCGTGTGTCAAACGAATTTCAATGCGTTTCCGATTCCAATTTTCGTTTATTTCCATATTTTTAACGGTATTTTTTTGTGGCGTTTTTTTTTTTTTTGGTATTGAATTGAATTTGCGAGAGATATTTTTGTTATGGATTTTAATGTGATCGTTTTTTTTTTTAGATAGTTGGGTTTTTTAACGTTTTTTTTTTTTTTGGTTTGGTTGTAATTAAATTGATTTGAGGTATAGATATATATATAGATATATATATTTATATATATGCATAAATAGATTTTATATTTTTGGATTTTTGTTTGTTTGTTTGTTTTGGATGATGCGAGCGATGTTATCGAACGAACGATAAATAAAATGAAAATACAAATATATAAGAAATGTAAAGTAAAACTATCGTTTTGTTTTCAATTTAAATTCTTAGGTTATGTTTGAGATACAGTTTTTTTTTTTTTTTTTTAATATATATATATTTTTTCTTGTATATCAGTGATTGCATTTTAGAATATGTACGTATACAAGTACGAGCATATTTGATTATAGGCAATAGCAGTAGAAACAGTAAAACGAAATAATAGTTTAGCAAAGAGTACTCGAAATTAGGCACAACACTTAAAACGAGTAGCGTTACGAGTGGTTTTTGTGGTTTCTTCTTTTTTGTATTTTTTCTGTTTGCTTTTTTTTTTGCTTTGGCTTTGGGTTAAGGTTCTCTATTTCATTTTTTTTATTTTTTGCTTTTTAAGTATGTTAGTATATATATATATTTGCTAAGACGGCAAAGTTGCTGTGTGTGTGTGTGGGTGTGTGTGTGTGCGCGCGCGTATGTGTGTATATATATACATATGCAGACACTCGAACGAAGGTTGCATAGTGTGCGAGTGAGTTACACAGGTGCACAGCGTGTTAAAGCGAGTGCGAAAGAGTGCGAAGAGTTAGAGAGACAGAGAGAGAGAGAGAGAGAGAGAGAGAAAGAAAGAGTGCGAGAGAGTGACAGAGAGAAAGAGAGAGAGAGGACAGCAGAAAGTTGTGTGTGTGTGAATTTCTTTGTGACAGAACTACTCAAAGTTAGGCGCAACACAGGGCAGGGGCGTGGGCGTGGGCGGGAGCAAGTGGCGGGCAGCGGTTGCTGTAGCGGTGCAGGAGCTGGGGCTGATTGTTGGACATAGTTGAAGGCGTTGGATTAGGACTTGACGACTTGGGTATTAGGTACGGTCACGGTTGAATAACTTTGCGCGCATATGTGTGTGTGCGTGTGTATGGGTCTGTGCCTGTGTCTATTGATCTGCTGTTTGGCATGGGGTATTCAGTATATCTGGCACATGCAGCATGCGTTCGATAAGAGCAGAGCTAAGAATATTGCGCAAAATGTGTTATCGGTATCGGTATCGGTATCGATATTAGCTAAAGCCACGTCCCAGCAACTTTAGTTGCCTCAGGGGCGTGGCACGCTGCACTAAATACGCAACTCTAAATATTACAATTACTTCCTAATGCAGTGTACAAATGTGTGTGTGCGTGTGTGAGTCTGAGTCAAGATTTGATGAAAATATCGAGTAAAGTTATCGATAAGTAAACACTGTACCGAAAATACAGTGTAATAATGCATGATGTAGCTGTATGAATGTGTGTGTTTGTGTGTGTGTGTGTGTGTGTGTGTGTGTGTGATTGGGTGTTACTGGGGTTGGACTTTTACTTGTTTCTTTGTTGGGTTTTATGTGAACTAAACAACGACACAACGTTACATTGATAATGAATAGAAAAACTGTTTAAATTTATAGAGCTTTTCTAAGCATTTCTGTTCAATTGCGTTCACTTTAGGCAAAAGGAAATTTGCGTCACCAACCAGTTAAGGGGCAACTGCAAATGTTGCCTTTGCCTAAGGTTGTCGGTTAACGGAACCAGAACAGAACAGAACGGTACGCAATGGAACGGAACGGAACGGTAACAGAACACAGTGGCAACAAAAAATATATGTAGACAGTTAGACAGATAGGCAGTTAAATAAGTGTATAAAGATCTGACAGAAAATAACAAAATGAAAAAAAAAATTGCCTTGGTTTTTGTAGGTCACCGAGGTATGCTACGGATCGAAACGAAATGGAACGATATGAAATGAAACGAAAGAGCGCAGCGATTCAAAGTACGTGATAAATTCGCAAATCAAAACTTGTACGCATAAAGCAAATAAAATGTAGTTCTTTTTCAGTTTTTGTTTTCGGATCAAACGAGTATTGCGAACTTTGGTTAGTATGTGATAAGAAGAAGTAACTAAAAAATACTTGGCGAAAGAGTTGATCAGTAAATGACAACACTTGAGCGCAATTAGCACCGCACAGTAAACGAACCAAAAACTAAGAATAACGAACATAAAACTCAGAAACGATAATATAATCATAATCATAGTAACATAAACAGAATCGTAATCAGAAAAGTTAGAATTGTAATTGTATAGATTTGCATACGTCATGTCACCATATCCAACGGTGGTCATGGTAACGACTGCCCACCAAAATGCATCGGGTATGGACTTGAAGAAGGAATTTTCGCTTCCAGCTTCCGCAAAATAAACCGCTGATGAGAAGAGTACGACGCCTAAAAAAATTGATGGGAGAAATTGCTTTGCATTGGTTCCGACTCGATTATTTCATAAACATAGGAGTTTTTTTTTTTTTTTTTTTTTTTGGTTTCTTACTTTTACATATTATATATAGTTTTTTAAATTATTATATATATATTTTTTTTTTTAAATCAAAAAACATTTGAAATAAAAAAGAGTTTTGTAATTTAGCTTTGGGTGCCGATTCGGCTTGGCGTCCGGCAAGTCCTTGTCTGTAGGAAAGTCTCAAGCTGGATACGTATGAACGGTCCGGCAGGTAATACTCTCTATGTGTGTGGCTGTGTGATTGTGTGTGTGTTGGTATGTGTGTGTGTGTGTGTGTGTGTGCGGTTGTTTGTTCTGTAGAACGTGCTATACAATGTGTTAACTGAAAATCTCAATTGCGGACAAAACGGAACAAAGTGTGCAAGTGGAACTGGAACCGGCAACGGCACCGGTACTGGCACCGGAACCGGAATCTAATGGCGTTAACAGTCATTTCAGCGTTTCCTTTTTTTTGGTGGGTGCACATTCACTGTGTCCCCCTTCCAGCGGTAAGCTGCACAGCATTGTGTAGCACGCATTTCAGCTGGATTTCATAATCCCATTAAAAATAGTTTTCGGATTTTATTCGCAATCTTGTGACAATGCGAAACTGAGCCGCGGCATTCCCAAGCAGAAAAAAACGAGTGGGCAGGCCTATCCAATAGTGAACGGTGCCTGCCCGTTGGAAATGGCAATTAAATGAAATTGGTTTCTGGTGTGCTAAGCCCTGGGCCGAGAAATATGGTGATATCATAGTCTTAAGGCTCAACGACGAGGACGAGAATGAGAACGACGACGACGACGACGACGACGACGATGGCGAGAATTCCAAGTGATGAATAGATCTTGATTTTTGTATCTTTTTTTTTTTTTAATGTTCTATTGTTTATGTGTGGTATTTGACTAGTGAGTGGTTTATTATTCTGCTTGGGATATTTTGAAACTCAAGAACAGAATCAGACAAACGAAATGAAGAACGAGAGAACCCAAATGCAGGACATGCCAAAAAAGTTCACATAACACAAGATCAAAAGAACTAGTTCAAGAAAAAAATAAACAAAAAGAATAGAAAATATAATGAAAATAGTAAAATGATAAATGAAAATAGCGCATAGTTCATGAAAACGTTAGGTAGAGGCGGGTAAACGACGAGGACAGCGATAAAAAGGGACACAAAGAGCAGGAGAGAAAGTGAAAGAGAGACAGAGACAGAGAAAGAGCGAGAGCAAGAGAGATCGATTAATGGGGCTGGATTACAACAACGCACGATAACAAAGGACGTCGATGCAACAACAACTAGAAACAGGATGAAGAGCACATTAATAGGGATCTGTACAAGGCACAGCATATACAAGTAGATACATTTATAGATAGTTACATATAGAGTACAGTTATAGATACAGAATTAGCTTAGCTGACTTGCTTAATACACATAAAAATACTAAAAAGTAGTGGGTATATTCAAGACACATAGAATAAAGTATTTATATACATATTTTGTGGACATCATTAAATTCTGCTGTCTGTCATAATTCCCAACTATTCCAAAACTCAATTGAAATAATCTGCGTGAGAGAGCTCTTTGGTTGTATGCAATTTGGAATGTAACAGATATATGGAATGGGCATGAAGAACCGAGCGGAACGTTATGGAATTGAAACACTCATTTATACAAACTTAACAAAATGAAAAAAAAAACACATTTAAAGATATACAAAATAGTCGATGGAGTATGAACACAAGCTCGCT